GCCAAGTAAAGAGTATTGAGTTTCAAGTTAAGCCAAGCGTATAGAGTTAAGTTCATTTCTCAAAAGTTAATAGGGAACTATGTATTCCCAAAGAAGTTTCTAAATGTTTTTACATTTGAGTAAGAAAGGAACTATGTTTCCAAAAGAGCCTTTGGGCTAGTTTTCCAGAAAAATGAACATCGATTCCAAGTGAGCCTTTGGGCTAGATTTTGAGTAATTATCTCAAACTAAAGAAAGTTAGTGTTTAAAACACTTATGAGCAAAAGTATTTTGGGAGTAGTATTGAGCACCGAATTGGGGACGCGAGTTCATAGTTACTCAACTCTCCAAAAGAACCATGTAGCCAAACATGGGATTTGACAGGTCATACTTTTTAGATGATTGTTGACACCCAATTTTGGACCTCCACTGTCCCGAGTTCGCTGCTCATCAAGAGGTGAATAACTCTAACCTCTTTATTTACCTAGTTCCCAGTAGATGCTCGAATCTGAGTCGTTTCCTTCATCTTAGTTTCTTTTTTTTTTCTTCTGAGATTGATAATGTATGTTTCGTCTTCTAATTGATTTAATGTTTGTTTGAGCTTATTTCTCTATTTGTATCATCTTCGAGTTCATGACTGTTGTGCTCGTCTCAAGTTTGTGTTGTGTATTTGTTAACTTCATTGAAGTTGTTTATCTCTATTTGTTGAAGTAGATTTTTTTTCATGTTCGGTTATGAGTGTTGAGTCTGTCCAGAAGGGTTACTCCCTGTTCTTATGCTCATTTTTCCAAGTTTATTTTGACTAGCTCTCGCCTATGCATATAAATGTAGATTTAGTCCATCTTTGTTATGGTTGTTCCCTGGTATGAATGTTTTCCTTTTTTAAATGTAGAGTCTTTGTTCTGCTTCTCCCACATCTTCCGCCATTTTTTATTTGTTTTTTTTTCTGCCAGTGAGTGTCATCCTTGTTTAGTTAAGAAATTGCATTTCTAGAAAGTGGGTGTGCCGTTCTATCGCTTGGTGGTTAAATGCTTTTCAAACACTGAAGTCAACTTATATGACATATTCAATTAGTTTGAGATTTGGTTAGTCATTTTAGAACTATTAAGAATGCAGGAATTGGGTTTTATATTCTATAGATATTGTTTGTTTTAAGATGTCCTTACTTCCCTGTTAAAGTTTGCTATTCTGGAAATTATCTATTTGTTGATGTCAATTTGATATAGCACAAATAATGTGTTTGATTGCATATGGGCTTCACTTGATCATTTTATTTGCTCCATTGTAATAATGGGTTAGTTCTTATCTTTGTAAAAAGAGATTTAGTCATGCCTTAACTGTATGTGGTTTTTTTTTTATGTCGAAATAGTGGTCTGATTTGTACCGTAGTTTGTTCATATATTTTTGGACTAAATAACGCTTAGCAGGTCCATTTATTTTTCCTCTGATTAGTGTCATAGGCATTTTTACTTCATTATTTCCCATATTAAATCAATGGCTTATTACTTACTTATATATTCTATTCATTTGTTTGCATGTGAAATTTGCCCGAGTCCACCATGAACTCCTTTTTCCTCGCATTTTGAGAAAGCCATAAAGGCTTACATCCCTTTATCGAGTCAACCGGCCATCAAAAATTGACGAACAGGAATTGGAGCGGATTCGGGATTGTATACACCTAGTGTATACGAAAGTCAAGAAGTGGGCCCAAAGGCCTCCAAAATTCCAAAAATTGTATTTTGTTATTATTGGGCCTAAGCCTATTTAGTCAATATGTTTATTATTTTGTTAGAATTTAGGACAGGTGAAAAATTGGGGCCTAAGGCCCAAAGAAAAATATTTCTTTACGTTAGTATAGGACATG